TCTAAAATTCAATTGAATAACTAATATGACCCGTTGCACAAGAAACAGTGGCTCTCGTGGTCTAGTGAATAACGCTTCGGCGTTTGAAACTATGGGCACTGAGTTCGAGCTTCGGTGGGAACATCATCACTCACTGAGTAATGCAGATACATCCAGCTGACCGGCAAGTCCCAAGTAGGACGAAATGTGCATCGTGGATTCCACTGCTAGTCACCATCCACCAATTAAAAACAAGCTCTTCTGATTGGTTGTCGTCGATTTGACGAAGATTAAACCAACCTTGAGATGAAAAGTTAGTTAGTTGTCCAATTAGATTATAACCCTGCCACAATGAATCCTTCACTGACCCAGGTTTCGTGGTCTGTCTGTCTGTCTGCCTGCTTTCGATATAGAACTTTGCACTGATGTGCAGCAGTTCAAGCCGCCACACCCCCTCCATGTTGCACACAAAGCAAGAGACAAAAGTAGAAGAAATGCATAATAGAGTCAGTAGACAGGGATACAAGACAAGGAATAGCAATAACAAAGAATAATATAGTTTCATTAGAAATTATAGGTCACAAGGAGTGGATGCATCTGCGCTAACCAATTGAAAACGATTTTGAGCCATATTACCAATTGTCTCCAGCCGCCATCATTGGTTCTTAGCATCCTGAGGACCTCAACCAGTCATCAAGTCTACACCTCCCGACATGGCTGACTGGTTTTATCTGACTGTTGTGGGTTTTATTGACCGATGAAGCCATGTTTTGGTTTGATCACCAGTGGCTCTTTTCCATCCTGATCAATCCTACGCCATTCAGCTAACATTGCCTGTTGTCAATGAAGGCGATCGACATCTAAGCATGCGTAACACATGTCCTAACCATCTCTTTCAATCGATGTAACTGGTCTTACTTTATAAAATCAGATATTTAACATAAAGGTAGAGTTAAACGAAATAGACTGGTGAAACTATGATAAAAGGAAATTTATAGGAGAAAGAATAATCAGAATTTTTTTTCACCAGGGTGATAACAAAAAAGAGTACATGGACCTACGCCAGGTTTTTAAATGGTATATGTTGTTGTTTTTTTTTCTAAGTGGCGCCACCGCCTGCTTTATCCGGTAGGTATTAGGGTGTTTCAATTAAATAGGCAAAAAAAATAAATAAATAGCTGCATGGATTCATAGAAAATCCACTATATTGTGCAGATATCAACATTTAAGCCAGATTTTTATTGATATAATTACAGTAATTGTAACGTAGTTCAAGAATACAATGTCACTGATAATATGTGAGCCAGAAATATGTAACTTCTTATTGAACCTACTATATCAACGGGATACGTAGCTACAATTAGCGGGGATATGCAGTAAAACCACTCACCTGTGGCATTATGGGAACGATTTTAAGCCATGTCACTATCAGTCAACACCTCTAATCATCATTGGATCTAAGCGTCTGCGGAACTCTAGCTAAGACAGTCTACATCTCTTTCCCTCTCTACGTGGTTCAAACTAACAGTCAAAGTTATTTGTCTGTAGGTTCATTTGCACATTTTCCTTTAGACCGAAATGCTCGATCCTCTGTTCACATGTCGTCAGCTCCAGGTACGGATACTTCAACGATGTCTTAAGGGATTAATATGAAGTTATTTCTTGTTGATTGTGAAGTCCAAATTGCACCTTTCGTCCGTCCTATTTTAAGACTCGTCAGAGGCTGGATGTACCTGGATAGTGATCACACTGAGACTCAAATCCTATACACCCATCGTTGTGTATATAGACGCTTCTTGAACCCACTCCTTCGCGTCGGCTAACATCTCTCGTGGTGGGGAAAGCAATGGCTTGACATGTGTAATATATGTGTGTCTTAGATATCACAACTTATTTGATTCACACACTGGACTTTAGCCTAATGATACGATGGCTTGCACAGTGGATTGGTTTCCTAAATATGCAATGGGTGGGGTGGGGGATTATTTTGATTACTTCTTTTTAATGATTTATTCAGACTTGGTGGTTATGTTATTCTAGGAAGTTAGCAATACCTTTGATCTGGATATTTATAATGAAACCTATTGTTTAGTTATGCTTCGCTTGTTTCTTTCTTAGTGAATAAACTAGACGGTAGTACCATTCGCCTTCACATATCATTATTGTTTTATAGTCCCTTTGGATCCCGAGTGGAACATTGGGCTTCATCAGCACGTCTCTGCTTTATTTTATTCTCCACCGTCGTCTTTAGCTGGCCTCATGATTGGCTATAGTGTCTCATCCCCTCGGGTGATGCCCCTCAATGTCACGCTTCGACCCATGCCCAACTCACCATTTTCCACTTAGGTTCCACTAGAAGGGGTTATGCCTGGCGCACGATGGCATTCAACGATCTTGTCAGTGTGTCTCCATTCCATCTGCATTTTCTTCTATGTATATTTGTTGATCAGCAGGTTCTTGGTTATTTCGTTCACAGAGTTTCTTGTTTCTAATTCTTTCTGGTCGGCTGTCTATGTGGTTTTCAGTATGGGGCCAGCGAAGACACCTGTTGATAAACGTTTATGGTGCTACAGAAACTTCAAAAGCACAAGAAAAATATAAGAAGAAAAAACTTATTCACAAATAAAGTGTGGCTTAATATTTGCAGATAAATTCTATCAACAGTACTACCTTGTCTAGTGGAATGCAATCAATCCGTGTGTAGAAAGGAGCGATTTGTCTTCAGTGTATTTAATTTTCTACAACGGTTGTTAATCAGTTAATTATCAAGTATTGGTTTTGTAGGGATTTTATTTGATTGCATGGGGGATTTCATTATGAACTGATATCAGTTAGAGAACCACTGGAAAACCAACTGGGAGTACTGGACAGCTGTTTCGTCAGCCTAGTTTGGGGCTCTCTTCACAGTACTCACCCAACGCCAGAGTTCGAACCCAGGACCTTCTGGTTACAAGGCGAGCTAACTCGTAGACCATTGAGCCACTGGCACCCGATCCAATGGTCAGTCCTTGAATTCTAACTTCTGCCAATTCACGACATAGCACGACCATTTTGCAATATGCTCTTCGATGAGTTACTGCACCCCATCTTCAACCTGCTGTACCCTACTGGTCACGGCTTCCCACTCGAACTTCAGGTTAACTGCCTGAGTAGGGGCAGTCGTATGTGAGCTCACCTTGTAACCAGAGGATCCTGGGTTCGTGCCCCGGTGGGTGCATACTGCTGAAGAGTCACAAACTAGGACCAAATAGATAGCTGTCCAGTACTCCAGTGGTGGTTTTCCAATGGTTCTCCAACCGATGTCAGCTCATGATGAAATCCTCCATGCAATCAGTTAATTACTCGGTTGGTTTTTAAATCATCAGTTCTCATTTGTGTGTGTGTATGTGTGTGGGGAGAATGTTATGTTTGTCCATATTTACTGTGTGATATTTCAAACATCAAGAGTACTAGTAGTAGTAGTCTGTCATGTTGTATTTGAGTAATTATTTCTTTAATTCTTCACTGAATGACAAACTGTTTACTTATATTCGAACTGAGTAGTACAAGCATTCAAAGTGAAACTTATTTCTCTCAAAAAACCCCACTAAGGTGATGTATGTTATGATATAAACAATTCAATGTGACGATGCTGAATAGTACTTAAATATTTATTTTCTAACCGTCATTCATACTGTGGTTTAGTTAGTGTTATATAGTGTTGATTGTTCAATGTCATTTGTTTATTTCATGGTCAAATGACCTTGAACCAACCAATCAGGTCGTCAAACATCACAACTGAATGCTTTTCGTAATCTTCCTCGGAAGTTTTATTTGGATTCAGCGTTAGCTTTAGCGTACGATTAAGACAGGGTTAGAGTTAAGGTTATGGTGAAACTTACAACGATGATTATGCCTATGGTCGGTTTGTAAGGGTTAGTTTTGTTTTTACGAGTTGAGCACGTATTGATATCAGTTAGAGAATCATTCGAAAACGAGCACTGGAGTACTGGACAGCCAACTTTTTCATCGTAATTTGGAAATCATTGGCAGTACGCACCCACCACAGTGGGGTTCTAACTGAGGACCTTCCGGTTACAATGCAAGCTAGCTGGTATACCATTCAGCCACTGGGACCCGATTCAAATGGCCAGTACATGAATTCTAACTTAAAGGAATTCGTGATATAGCGCAACCCTTTAATCGGAAGGTACTGGGTTGAAATGCTATATGCATGAAGAAGAACTAAGGTTAGGTAAGATATCTTTGAATTACTGGGTGAACATTGGACGGCTACTGAAGGATAGACACAGACGTGCAAAGTAGAAAGTTTCCTTGATCGCCCTGGTTAAACGTTGCGATAGAATATCCGCGTGAGTATCTCTCCCTAATTGTAGAAGTAAAAATAAAGGCTTTTTCTCCACCGTTGCCAGTTCATTTTTACGACTATTGTAACCTATCTTGGCTTTAATGAACTTCTCTGGATATCCGTTCTCGCTTAGAATGTCTCGGATGACGCAGTCTTCGAAACAAATTGACCTCGCTTTAAATGTTAAGCACCTGATCAAATTACGTTTGTATTTCGTCGGTACGAAGCTGAGGAACTGTGTATACTGAGATTTGATCTCTAGCTTTCTAAATATGGTTTTTTTTTGACGGAACCATCCTCTCTTCTCGTTAGTAGGACGTCGAGGAAGCGCAGGGAGTAGTTGTATTCTCTTCCGTAGGTGAAATGGACCGCTGGGTGAGCATTATTGAAGTTGCTGAAAATCAAATCACTACTTAACCCTTCATCGTACACTACAAAAGTGTCATCCATGTAACGACAATACCTTTCCATTTTTGCTATTTTATCTTTCAACGGACTATTTTCAAGTTTTGCTAGAAATATGTTCACGAAAATAGCTCCCAGTGGGGATCCCATGGCCACTTCATCAACCTGTCTGTATATTTCATTATTAAACAAGAACTGAACATTTGTTGTTGATTATTCATGTTTATTCTCTTTTTTGTTTAAATTTCTTTTTTATTTATGTGATTAGAACAAGCACGCAGAGATGATATGGAATCGTTGGGCTATGTATTAATGTATTTCTTACGTGGTAGTCTTCCATGGCAAGGTTTAAAAGCTGGTACTAAACGTCAAAAATATGAACGTATTAGTGAGAAAAAAATGCAAACCCCAGTAGAAGTATTATGCGAAGGTTATCCAGGTATGTGTGTGTTGTTGTGTAATGGGTGGTAAACTGTGTATTATATTCACTTTTTTGTGGTTCAAATGCTCCATTTAATGCACTTGTGTGTGTGTGTACCTTTTGACTAAGTTCGTTATTGTTTTTGGTTGTTTTTTGACGTTTTCCGTTGAGAAAAATGTTTAAAATTGTATATACTACTGATTGACTGGAATGAGTAGTAACAGTAATATATTCTAATTTTTTTACATGAGGGATGCCAGTTTATAGGCATCATCGATATGGTAAATTACATATGCGATTAGTAAGCATATTTAGTAATGATAATATGATAAGTTATATATTTGTTCCTACCTATGTAGGACACACCAGTTGTACAGGCTGGATAAATATTATTTTAACTACATATATGTGGTTAATGGTGAGATCACATGGTTGCTGTCGTTTTTGACTTTGGTTTGTGAGAACAATGTGATAACTAGTCATTCAATGGAACACATCAAGAGATATAGAAGTATTGTCTTCGCACTAACAAAAAAAATCCAAGTATGTTTTAGATGGATTACAGATACTTGGGGAAAAAATAAAGCTTGAAGTCATTTCCCTCATATTACAATGAAATGCATCTTTTATAATAATATATTCTCACTTTATGCATATGAGGGACTCCAGTTAACAGGCGTCATAAACATTTTAATAATGTATACATGGAGTAAGCATGTTTAAAGTTTTTCACTGCCACAAGATATATATATATATATACAAGGGAAGGTAATGGAATAATGACAGTAAGTACACTATGCATAAGTTAAAACAATTTATATGGCATAATCCTTGGCACCATTATTGTTTGAATTTGTCAAAAATACGCGTAACAACTGAGTGTTGCGTTACATTTGGTCGATATGATGGGCTGCTCACAAAAGTATAAAAATGGGTCATAAAACGTTAGTTAGTTTACCGTAAACGATGTTTTAAGCAATAGAATCTGCAAGAGGCTCACCACAGTTGTTAGTATCCAGTTAAACATGCAGAGAAGTATTAATGATTCGGCAGCCGGTGGATTGTTGATTCTTTTCGGTCTAGAACCAGAATGACTGCGAACCAATCCATACAAGATGTCGAATAAAGCATGCAGCTGTTAGCATATTTTCGTTATTTCATAGATATCCAGGTTTATTGGCTGTGTATAGGTAGTGATTTGGATTTGTCATCATGATCGACATATGGATGAATATTCAGATACGTACTACTACTTGTTTGCCTTTCGGATTTAGTTAACCACATCTCATCTAGAGTTTGATTACTCTACAATTTTGACATATTCCGCAAAGTGTCGCCGTGATCATGGGAAATATGCATATGCTTTAAATGTATTACTTTGTTGTTGGCTGTACCCACTCACATTAATCAGTAATAGTGTTTGCTGGCCAGCCATATATCGAGGTGATCTTAACACAGAAGAACGGCTGTTTCGTCTTGAGATAACTGCATAATTGCCTATAATCTTTCGTATTCTCCTCACACGACCTCCTCCTCCTCCATGTTACTCGCGAAGCGACACCGAACTCGTCGTTTCTCATTCGGGTAATGTCACTCAACGGTCTCCTCAGCGTGTGTGTGTGTGTGTTCGATCGATCTCCATTTTCTTCGGCATATTTGTTGGACAGTAGGTTCTCGGTTGGTTCGCTCTAGTGCCAGAGTTCCGTGTCGTGCTATTCCTTTCTGATTGATTGGCCATCTCATCTTCAGTATGGATCCAGTGAAGGCAGCTGATGATAAAAGTCTGCATTGGCGCTGGCCTGTTGAAAAGTGTTTTTTGCTGACTCGCCAAATTTCTGAACTGCATAGAGGAGAACTGACTTCATTGATATTTTAGTGTTTGTTGAAAATTCTAACCTTGTTCCTGATGATTCTGAAAGCAACAGATCTTCCAGACTGATTTCAGAGTAGTGAATGCTTGTCTTGCCTTTTTGATCCCTTCATCGGTTCCGTGTGTAGTCGCAGCGATGCTGCTTAGATAACTGTTGATTGGCGCTTTTTGTTGTTGGTTGGTTGGTTATCTTCATCACTTCTGTCTTCTCTATGTTCACATGAAATTCTATCTTTGCTGCCATCTTCTTCTTCTATCAACTTGTTTGTTTTCGCTGCTTGTGGATCTTAGAGTCTGTCGACACTAAATATAAATCGTTCGAGAAGTTCTGGTTTTTTTAGAGTCTTCTTGTCGGTCCAACGTATCTCGGTCTTCTCGCTACCCACAGTGTGTTGCGTTGCGTGATTCAGTTCACCATAATTACGAATATCATTGGTGATAGCAAGCAGCCTTGTCTGCAATTAACAGTTATTGATTAATAACAAATTAAAAGTATCTCAAATCTTCCCAAAGTTATATGATGATACTGTAACGATAGAAGACAAGGGCCAGCCAGGCAACAGATCGTTTATTTAGGAAATCAACACATATTTATAGATTTTCATGTACATCATTATAGATTATTGTTAACAGACAAACAGTCTTCTGATTGGTTGTTTTCTCGCCTAAGGTTATTTGTCATCTCTTTGTGGCTGTTTTTTGAAGGTCAGGTTATCTATCTGCTAATTGTATATCCGCCTACGCAAAGTCTACTGTGATTGGTTGTTAAGTCAGTGTCGTTGTTCTTATTTTTCTCACGACCAATATTGGGGATGTAAACATTGACGTAAATTACTGTCGACCAATTTTAGGCTAGCAGCCAGCTCTCACCACAATACTACCCATCTGTCCAGTTAGTAAATAGTGAGTGGGATTTAAGCCTGGGTGTTTGTTGACTGAAAGCTGAGTGTCAGTAGGCAGTGAGCCAAATCTCTACATTCCGTGTTATTATTCAAAAGTATTGAGCCTTGATATTCCTTCGTAAGTACTACATCAGCGTGTTCTTATAGATGACTACTTGGTATTCAGTCATCATCTCCACCCCCTTCATTTCCGCCGTATAGAATCTTCAAGTAAATTAGGTATTCATCGATGGGCGTCATTCTGTCGGAAAGAAAGAACACTCATTCCTCTACATCAATTTTCCCTTCACATTTTCCTCTTCAAGAAGTGTACAACAAGGGGTTGAAAATAGGATTCCCCAAAGATATTTATTTGTGTGGTGATTTGATGTTGTGTGCGATGTAAAAACATTATCACCATCACCACCACCAACAACAACAGGAGAAGGCAAGAGTCTTGGTAATGAACTTTTTTTTCTAATAAGGACCATTTTTACACATTTTCTCTACATTCAAGGTTTGTCGATTTGCCGAAGGTTACTTTGTTCAGTGAGATTATTATTTCCTGACCACAACGTAAGCTATATCCAGATTTAAGGAATAAACACTTCTACTTCCATAGCCACTGACTTAAAATGTTGTTTTCAAGTTTGGTTGCTAGTTCCTGTCAATCTATGTCTCTATACTACTGATAAACTCTGCCTAGTAGTTTAAATAAGGCCATCCCCAAAATTGTTTTCTCTTTTAAATTTCTAATAACTCTTTTTAGAAAAAAATTTAATTCTACTTTCTTTCCCTTGTATTTTTTTAGTTGAAATGGCTGTCTACTTAAATTACTGTCGAGGAATGCGTTTCGACAATGAACCAGATTATTCCTATTGTCGTCAATTATTCCGTAGTCTATTCCACCGGGAAGGATTTACATACGATTGTATATTTGATTGGAATTTATTGAAATTCTCTGGAAATGATCAAAACGCTGTAAACAATACAAGTAATAATAATAACAATAACACTAACAATAATAATAATAATAACAATAATAATACGAATGACAATGCAAATGCCAATATCTCTTTGGCTGTGAATTACACTCAACAGCAAACAATACGGCAACAGAGGGCACTAGGAAATGTTAAGGCATCTCTTCGAGGTCATCATCATGATGAAAAGGCTAAATGTATGTTAGTCGCCTGTTTGTATGTGTGTGTGTGTTAGTGTTTTGTTTTTTGACTATGAATAATAATTATAATAATACTGTAATTCGGAGGTTACTTGACAAAGAGAGAAGATTGCATGGAGGATTTCATCATGAACTGACATCAGTTAGAGAACCACTGGAAAACCTACCAGGGAGTACTGGAGAGCTGTTTTGTCAGCCTAGTTTGGGGCTCTTCATCAGTACGCACCCACCACGGGGGTTCGAACCCAGGACCCTCTGCTTACAAGGCCATCAAGCCCGTAGACCATTGAGCCACTGGAACCCGATCCAATGGCCAGCGAGTTCATGAATTCTAACTTCTGCCAATTCACGACATAGCGTGTGTACTGCTCATCAGTCCGCTCCGTCCTCCTATATGGCTGTGAGACCTGGCCATTGAGAGCGGAAGACATGAAAACATTAGCTGTCTTCGATCATAGGTGTCTGCGTTCTGTCTCCCGCGTGAAGTGGTATAATAAAGTGAGCAATATTGAGGTTAGGCCATCGGTCGAGTGCTAGGTAAGGAGGGGAAATCAATCGACGAGGCTGTGAAATTACATCGACTGAGATGGTTAGGACATGTGCTACGTATGCCTAGTCATCGCCTTCCTCGACCGACGGGCAATGTTAGCTGATATAGGGTCAGGCTGGAAAAGAGCTAGCGGTGGTCAAACGAAAACATGGCACCAGTCAATGAAATCTACAACAGTTAGTCTAAGCCACGTAGGAAGGTGTAGACTTCCTGGTTGGGGTCCTCGAGACGGTAAAAACCAATGGTTGGAAACAATTGGTGACATGGCTCAAAATCGTTCTCAATGGCTGGCGCAGATGCATCCACTCCTTGTGACTTATGATTCCCAATGAAACTGTTTTGTTCTTCGTTATTACTATTCCTTTTGTCTCACACCTCTGTTTAATGTCTCTAATATGCATTTCTCCTACTTTCTTCTTTTGCTTTGTGTGCTACATGGAGTGTGGCGACTTGAACTGCCGCACATATATGCAAAGTTCTATGTCGAAAGCCGACCAACCGACCGACGACATAGCGCGACCATTTCGCAATGTCTCCTTCGATGGATGAGTTACTGCCTCATCTTCAATTTACTATACCCCACTGGTCATGGCTTCCCACTAGAACCCCAGGTTAACTGCCTGAATAGGGCCATCTCTCCTCCATGCAATCAAACAAAATCCCTACAAAACCAATACTTAAAAAAGAGAGAAGAAACCAATAGTATATTCACTGAGGAAGCTTCCTACATCTACCTGTGTTGATTAGTATGCACTTTGTACATTTAGAAATGTCCTATAGAGGACGACTGACTGACTGACTGCGTAGCAGTTCACTCACTCTGCCCTGCTTTGTTTTTTGTGTGGCTTTGAGACATGGTCATTGAAAGTGGGAGATGAATGATTATATGGCGGCTGATGGCTGTTTTTAGCCACGGATCTGTTTGCAATCTGTTTCCCCCTGTTGTCACAGATGGTATAAGTGTTGGGTAAGTAAGCTAAATCAGTCGACGGAATTGTGGAGTTATATCGATTGAGAGAAGTAGAGAGAATATGCGTTACACACACGTCTAGGCATCGTCTCCCCCTAGATGAGCACTGTTATCTGTGAAAAAAGAAGACCACTCAGGTCATCATTAAAATGTTGGTGGAGATATGTAGACGACACGTTAGTAGTAGTAGTAGTAGTGAAAATAAACGATTTTGAGAAACTCTTCTTGCATATAAACAAGCAGGTCAACTCAATAAAATCCACTATGGAAATAGAGAATGAAACTGGGGGAACTGCCTATGTTAAACTGCAAAATGCAAAGAGTAACAGATGGTCGCATAAAAACGACGATATGTAGAAAAAACCATACACTCTGGAAGATTCCTTGGTTATCACTCAGCTCATCCACTCACGATAAAACGAGGATTAATACAAGGTCTTGCAGATAGAATATGCATGTGCGTCGGTGGCACAGCGGTTAGGACTCTCACCGACCATGCACATGGTCCGGGGTTCGACCCGCTGTCGAAGCACACCTGATATCTACGATATATTTTGGAAGTGCATACCCTGAATATTTCTCTACTGTGTATTCACGTATTGTCTGAAATAAAGTTTATAAATTGTACATTGGTTTTCAGGAGAACTGAAGTCACACTCATCACAACGCCTCTCTTGGGAGACTAGAACAGCGTGCAGTGTCATTCTGTGGCAAAACCACTCAAGAGCCTTTTCGCCCGGTAGATGGACTACTTCCTGTACACTTCATGCTAACGAAATGACGTAAAAGGTTGATTTCAGCTTTTAATAGACAGCAAATTACTTGTTCTAGTTAGTTATTAAGTGACTACTTTGTAGAGGGTGTGGTGGGGACAGGTACTCTGGCAGAGGTTGGGGTTCGCGGACTGGCCATTGGATCAGGTCCCAGTGGCTGATTGGTCTAAGAGCTTGCCCTGTAACCAGATAGTCCTAGATTCGAACCTCCTGTGGTGGGTGTGCACTAATGAAGAGTCCCAACCTAGGACAAGGTAGTTGGCTGTTCAGTATTCCCTACTGTTTTTCCAATGGTTCTCTAACCGACTTCAACTTATGATGAAATCCTGTAATTGATCGAATCAAATCCCTGCGAACTAACATTTGAAATTCATAGATACTTGTGGTAGATTTTTTTCTCCTAAGGGATCTAACTGTGAGGAAATGCTTTCTGAATAAAGTGAAGTTTTATAGTTTTCGTATTTTTTATGTAGATGACATTGACACAGGAAGCTCCAGTGAATATTTCAAGTATTTATTAACACACAGAATGTGTAGGGAATGTTTTTTGTTGTTGAATATTTCTCACTCTGACATATAGTTTCTTTGTAACCTGTTTTTTTGTTATTATTATTATTGTTATTGTTGTAGCTCGCAACAAACTTGTCTCCGGTAATCCTGGTTATCCATCTCAACAGGTGACTGCCTCACTTCTGAATAATAATAATACCAATTCTTCAACTCCTGCAGCAACAAATTCACGTTCAGGTTTCACTCAACAAGGTGTTGGCGCAGTGACAGCTTATCCACGTGGAATGCCAGCGTCTTGTCTACCAGCTGCACAAAATATGGTTGCTCAATCACTTCAAGTCATGAGTCTTCAATCACAATCGACCACCAATAATCATCATCATCAGACAGCATCATCTACTGGTGGTGTTGTTGCATCAGCTGTCGTTGGACATCAACACCAACACCATCATCATCAACAGCCACAGCAGCAGCTGCTGCAGCATATGCCAACTCATCATCAGACGTCCAATAATTCGCTAACTCCATATTACAATCAATCTGTACAACAACAACAACAACAGCAGCAGAACATTACACAATCACCCCAGTTAACTGTATCACAATTCGCTAATCCTAATCCTAATTCTAATATTCCTTCATATATGTTTCTTACAAACAATGCTACTAACAATAATAATAATAATATTACGAATACAAGTAATAATCCTGGTGGGGGTGGTGTCTGTGGTCAACAGACTAACTCAAATTTATATCCTTCTGTTGATCCGAATTGTATCATACAACAACAACAACAATCTCAAAATGCTTGTTGTTTACCTCAACAACAGACAGCTCATCAATCCAGTACAAATAATAATAATACTAATACTAATAATAGTCAACTTCAACAAACTGCTGCACAACGTCAAGTTATCCAGCCTGTACCTCATCATACTTCCATACAACAGGGCACGTATTTAATGTCACAACAACCGCAAACACTTGGTCAACAACAGACAATGATGATTGGCGGTGGCAATCAAATCCAGCAACAACAACCGGCATTTGGCAATCATCATCATCATCCGCATAATTTATACCATTTACGACTTCATCCAGAATCTTTCGGTGGTGCTGGCGGCGGTGTTGGTGGTATACCGGCAACTGGTGGTATGAATGGTGGTAGTGGTGGGCAGTCGGTTGGAGACAATTTTTCAACACCTATAATTCCTCAAGGACAAATTGGCAGTGGCAATAATGCATTTCGAAAGTAGTAATAATGATAATCACACTAGTGTGTGTGGTGTATATTCTAAGTGTGTGTGTGTGTGACGGGGGTGGGTGGATTAATAGGCGTGTCTCTGTCTCTATGTGTGTGTGTGTAGCTATAGTAAGCAAAGGAGGGAGGGAGGGGGGAATCCGTTTCACTTTACATTACTAACAACATGTTGTTATCGTTGAAGCGCTTCTCCTCCTGTTTTGTAGGCGCGCATACACCCTACGTACACGCATTAGTTAGTATTGCCCTATTGTTTGTATCTCCCCTTCTCTCTCTTTGTGTGTGTGTGTGTGCGTGCGTCTCTCTCTCCCGCCCTCTCCTTCCCTGAGTATCTCTTTTTTATTACTATTACTATTACTGTTATTATTATTATTACTACTACTACTACTATTACCTTACGTGTTATTATTATTATTTGTTGTTGTTTACAATGCATAGTTATGACAGGTAATTGTGCACGCATTGCATAGTTGCGTGTGTGTGTCTGTGCGTGTGTGTGTCTGTGCGTGTGTGTGTGTGCGTGCGCGCAATTATACCATTTCGTTTTCTCTCTGAATCTATTATACATATATTAATGTCTATACCATTTATATCTGACTGACTGACTAACTGAACTTAATCCTGCGCCTTTTTTTGTGTAAATAATGATGATCATAATGACAATATAATTATGTCAACAACAACAACTCTTAAGAGTTGAGTTTTACACAATAATGTGAACTCACATTACCCTGATTATTAATTGATTGATTGATTCATTGATTGGTGATGAGGATTACTCACTGAATAACACAACAAGAAGAGCAACCAACTAATGCGACATATATGTGTATCATATGGTGTTACTCTGACGTTAACGGACATGAATAAGAAGAGGAAGAACGACGAATGACTACAGATCGGTCGATCGATTGGTGGTCAGGTGATGGTGGGTGATGATGATGAGTTCCACTTCTGGTCTTTGTTACTCTCCTTTTTGTGTGTATGTTTTCGTTTTCTTTGTTTATGCTCCTCTTTCTATCTCTCTCTCCCGCGCGTTTTTAATCCTCCGGCTTCCTTCTTCCATGTACACATGATGCCAGCGCACAGATCTGTTTTCGTGTATATTTTACACATACACACGCACATACATACATACACTTACTTATACCATATTAGTTTTTATCGTTCGAATTTGTAACCTTACTGTCCCCACCACCGCCACTATCACCACAACGACGGCGACGTTGAATGAATGTCTTACTACGAGTTCGATTGTATGCATTTTCATTTGTGCTCCTAGCTGTGGTGTGATGGTGATGTTGTTTATATGTGGTGGTTGTATTTTGACTTCCCTTTTTCAGCAAATTCCCGCTACATTACTGATATCAGTAGTAGTAGTAGTATTAGTAGTAGTACTATAAATATCAGCAGTAACAGCAAATACTCACAATTAATAGAGTTGTCTTGTTTATATTTCTCGCCTTTTTCTAAAAAAAGGAATAAAATGACGATAAATTTTATTTTATCCTTATTATTATTATTATTATTATTATTATTATTATTATTATTATTGCCGTATTTCCCCATCCATGATCATATTTTGAAGTAAGGACAATTGACACTTATACACAAACAAAAATCCCTTTTTTTCACAAGCACACTCTACACAGCTATTTACTCGCCTGTATTTTTGTGCCTCTTTTCTCCAATCCTACCTACATGTTCCTGTGCGTGCGTGCGTGTGTCTGTTTCTATGTCTCATTCTTTTGTTCTCTCCGTTTTTCCCACACTCTTATCTCCCCCCTCGTCCACCTTATTTCTTTCTGTTGTTTGTTTTTTCTGCATTGCCTAACTCTCTCTCTCTCACTCCGTACACAGCTGATCTCATTTGTGTCTAATGTTTGGTTTTCGATCTTCTCTTTCGTGGAGGGCGGTGGGTGGGTGTGTGGGTTCAGTCAGTTAGCCAGTCACCTTGACCAATTAACCAGTCAATCAATCAATTAACCGACCAAGTTCAATTTTGATCTGATTTGTTGTTACTACTAGTGTTCTTTGTCTGGTTCACTTTTTCAAAGACTGGTGTATGTGTGTGTGTGTTTTATTCAAAAAAAGGAATATCAATGTGTTTGTTTTTGTACATATTACATATACTTAGTAGTGTTATTGTTAAAATATTACTAATGTTTAAAAATAGTTGTCTGCTTATATATATACTACTGATTTAAAGTAGTCTTTTTTGTCTGTCATTCTTTTATGAATGTAGATTGTTAGGTGGGGAGGAGGGGTAGGTCAGATTACGAGCTAGCTAGGATTACTTTGTTTCATAAGATAGTTTATCGCTTTTTGCCTTCCGATGGGTTGAAAGCCGCCAGCACTGGAGTACTGGACAGCCGTTTCTTCCGAGTTTAGGACCCATTATTTGTAGCGATTTGAACCTAGGACCTTCTGCTTACAAGGCGAGCTAGCTTATGCACCATTCAGCCAACCACTAGGACCTGACTCAATAATCAATGAAGTCGTGACCAGTAGGGTCCACCCTAGTTGGGAGTGACAACATGACATCGGCTGGTCCAATTCGCGCTGAAATTATGAATTGGTAGAATTCAGAACTCGTGGGCCATTGAATCTGGTCCTACTGACTGAATGGTATACAAGCTTGACTTTTAACCGGTAGGTCCTGGGTTCGAACCCTGGCAGTGGGTACGTAATTTCGATGGGCCCCCTCAAACTGTCTATTACTTCCTAGTGGTTTCCAATGGTTCTCTAACTGATCAAACTTGGAAAACAAACCAAATTCCTACAAACAAACCCCTGAAAATTCTGTAACAACGAAAGACAAGGGCCAGGCAACAGATCATTTATTAAGGAAATCAATGCATATTTATATATTTCATGTACATTACTATGGATATTTAAGTAAACAAACACAGTCTTCCGATTGGCTGTTTCTCACGTAAAGTTAATCTTTCATCTATTTGTGACTGTTTCTTGAATGTCAAATCCTCTATATGTTAACTGCATCCGCCTACGCAAAGTCTGCTGTGGTCGGTTTTGAATCAATCTTTGTTCACATTTTCTCACGACAAATCTCGGGAACGTAAATATTGACGTAAATTACTGTCTACCAATTTGGCTAGTAGACAGCTCTCACCACAATTCAGCTTTTTAGTTTCACTGGTGTGGTGGGATTCTTAGCTTCCCTCTTGTTAGCGGATTTACGACTGCTTGTAGGTTAAACGAGGTTTAGGAGTCCGTCAGTTGGAAATCGAACCGGGACCGCCTGGCGCCATCTTATCATTGAACCACTGAAGTTCATAGTTGTTCTTAGTATTTGGGGCGGTTTGCCTAGGTAATTCACACTAACAAAGGAGACCGTTATAGCTCATACTTGTGGGTGTAGTGTTTTCTTTTTGTTAAGGTGTGGCTTCTGTTATAGCTTTATGGGGTGTAGTTAAGGTCCTCGGTGGCGGATTCCAGTTTTCGCCTCCCCTAGGGGATAACTGGCACGTTTTGGGCGGCATAAATCTCGAAAATGTAATAGGTTTATAACAATCTTAGATACTCATCACAGTCATACATACGCTGCAATGATGTTGCTAACGGATTTGGAAACTGTGCCTGACAAACTGTTTTATTGTCATCATGACTAAGATTGGAGAATAATCAATTGATAAACTCCCGCTAGTTACATCTCTCTCTCTTTTTCCTTATATATATATATATATATATATATATATACACCATATTTCGACACTACCGATAGAATGGTTTAGTGAATTCGTTGGATTTGTGCTGTTGCAGTAAGTTTACCGCTCGACTACTGATGTAGAGAAAATGACAAAGTCTCTCTGGGATTATCAGATATCCGTGTTTAGGATATGAAATTGGCATGTGAACACACCTGTACTACTTTATACGGGTTGTCAGCTGACATTATAAACACTACTACAGTTTCCCTACATATGACCTAGTGTGAAATTATTACGTCTGCTTAGCTGACCTTGTAACCAGAAGGCCCTACGGGTGCTTGCTGATGAAGATTCCAGAACTAGGACGAAACAGCTGACTGTCCACTACTCCCTGCAGGTTTTCCGATGGTTCTCTAACCGATGTCAGCTCATGATGAAATCCTGTAACTGACCGAATCAAATCCCTACAAACCAATACTTCAGTTATAATAATAGTTCGATTCATATTACTGTTCACTGTTTGCTTTTAGACGGCATTTACATGACATAATATTTTATTCTGGTTCCCATCTATTGTTTTGTTTAATGAATCAAGTAAAAATAAAAACAGCATAGCTGTTAGCATAACATTTCATCTGTGTCCAAGTCTCATCTAAATATCATATGAAAACTACGACTGCAGGTCAGATGAATGGAATGGGATGCGGACGCGTGCTACAAAGGCGCGAATCTTCAGAGTTGCGTGATTGTGGTTCATTTGGGTGCCTGTTTTAATTTCCTATTTAGATAATTCTACTACGCTTAGGTCGTAATAACGGTGGATCTGTGACACCTTTGGATGCTTGTGGCCACGCATACAGTACAGCGAGGACGATGTCTAATGCGTCTGAAAAACACCGCTTGAAAACGTTGTGATGAGATCTCCGTTTACCATGTTACGGAGAAGAATTCTCAGAATAAGAATAAACTATGGGTGTGATTAATACCACTTGTATATGAAGCTTCTGATAATAAAATGGTAATGAATTCTAGGGTGCTAAGTGTATTCTTCTTTCAGTTGTCTCCTCCCTTTCACCCTTGTCTGTTTACAGTGTTCACCTGAGTATTTTGATTGGACACTAGTAGCTAGTGTTATGTGTCTAGTCCTTTCTTTAGTGCAGACTGAATTCTATAAATCAGGTTTGTAATGTGGCCACTATTCTAGGTAGCTCGCCATCACGGTGCACATTGATTCGATGATATTAGGTGGTTGGAGGCAATCGGCGCGGGTTTGAATCTCAGACGGGACATGAGTTCCTTCAAGTTTGCAGAACGTCTTGCTGACGAGTGCCAACTAGCGCGAAACCTAGGTCCAAGGCTTCCTGTGGCCGATTGCTCCCAACCATCTAATATCAACTGAGTATGTATATACATAACAAATTATAAAAATCGTCTGACATTTCTGTGTTCCCTGCTTACCCACTCGTTATTGGACCTATGCTGTGCATCGATTTTCTATTTTAGCTGTCCGTCTTACTAAAAAAATCAAGAGTTTCTTCGATATGATGAGCGTTTGGTTTTCATCTTGAATTTTATCTTTCTACTATTTACATGTGCGTCGGTGGCACAGCATTTAGGACGCTCGCCGACCATGCATATGGTCCGGACTTCGATCCCCGGCCGACGCACTATTAGAAAGGGATGGTCTGGCATGAGGCTAGCAACCCCATCCTGTAAAAATACACACTGCTACAGAAACTTCAAGCTTCTAGCTTGAAGCCCTATGTTCCACTGGGAACGTGAAGGAACAAAAAAACTACTTACATACATCTAAATCGTGATATAATCAATAATCACTCATGGGAATTCATAAAAAAGCTCAGCTAACATTGAAGTAAGCGCTAAAGGACAATAAAAGTTTCTCAGTTAAACCGGTCAGCTCATAAAAGACACATTATTGATATAATACATATGGTCTTCCTACTGGGAAGCTTATCAACAAACTCACACAACTTTGTCAAACAGAAGCAAGATTCACAAACTATCGAATTTTTAACAGTCGATGTTTTAAGAGTGATATAATTCCTAAATACTTACACCAGAGTACTCCAATTACTTCAAGAAAAATAACAGCTGCCGAAAGTGTCAGTAGATTATGTCTTAGGGAAGAATTACATCGAGTTACTGTGAAACTAAATAATATACGAAATGAAATTGAAAAACTCAAATATGTGGTCAATGACAAAGATTATATAATTGTTGTTGAAACATCCAAAAAAGCTAGAGAATCAGCATTAAAAAAAAATCGAAAACGACACAAATCAAAAAATTTCAACAAACTAATTGAAGAAAAGAACACAACAGATGAAATCGATGTCAACACTTCATCCGCTATCGACACAACAAAGTGGGTGATCAACCTCTCATCAAGGGAACTAAGCTCTAGTGAGATAAAAGTACTTGAGAAAGGACTAAATTTCAATGTAACAGTTAGTAAATAAAAACCAGAGGATGCCATTCCTAACATAGAAGTAGCACTAGGTTCAGTAGATTAGACGACAGCAGAAAAGGTTCGAGCACAATGTGCATTAATCCTGAAAAATCAAAAGACACAATTGTGAATTGTGCTACTGACAAGATTTATAAGTAGTATATATAAGTATGTATGCATGAATAATTCGTTATTTACACCTATAAATCATGGCATTTAAATAGAATCTTGCAGAACACACCGTAAACACACACCACACTCGTATGACATTTTCATCCTCAATGACTGTGTAGGTAGAAGTACTTGGATTTTCAAAAGTTACTGTTGCTACTTCCTCTGACGTCCTTTAGTTTTCTAGTCAGTAGACTGATCACCTACCAATGGATTATTTATGCTTACGAAGATAATCAAGGATGACATCGGAGAGTGGTGGAACAAGAATTCATGAGCCATTGAATCTTGTCCTATTGATTGAGTGCTAACGTGCTAACCTTGAAATATGAAGATTCTGGGTTCAATCCCAAGTGCAGCCATAGGTGCGTGCTGTTGAAGAGTCCTAAACTAGGATGAAGCACCTGTCTAGTGTTCCTTGTTTTTCATTAGTCCACTCACTGATGTCCCTTTGTGAATGGAATTTGGCTTGAAATCAGTTGAATCCTTACAAATCCAATACTTCAAAATCAAATTGTTGAACAATTCCAGTTTAGGTACTTTTTAACCTATTGAACTCAACGTTATCTCGTCTCAGTGGAAGTTTGAATTAGAGCAGTACAGTTTATGCAGTTGTTTATCTTTGAGTTTACCTTATGATCATTCGGCTTCATTACACAGTTGTTCTTATTTTTTAACAGAATCTGCTGACATCATCTACAGCTAGTGGTATTTCATCATAGATGTACTATGGACTTAACTCTAACTGACTTCAGCGACTCTGGGATTGGATTGTTACCAGGGTATAATCTCGTTGACTTAGAATATGCTGATGATATACTCCTCCTAGGTGAGGTGAAGACGCTGACAAAATGCTAAGTCTTCTGAAAACCTTGAGGAGCAGCAATCTTCGAATG